ATGTGCATCCACTTAGCTATAAATGTCTCTAATTTCTCATTTTTTATGGCTGAGTAGTACTCCATTTTATTAAAAAACCACATTTTCTTCATCCAGTCTCCAGTTGATGGGCATTTGGGCTGTTTCCAAGTTTTAGCTATTGCAAACTGTGGTGCTATGGTCATGGGCGCACATGTATCACTGTGGTATGATTCTTTTGAATTTTTTTCTGATAATAAAAACCACAATCACTACAAAAATTCAGAACATACATAAAAATGAACACTACTTCATGAATATGCATTTTCATTATCTTGCATCATTTTTCATAGACTTCTCAGAATCCTTTAATTTAAATGTTTTGGTGACCAAGTCAATAGAATTTTTGCTTGCCTTCTAATCATCCACTCAACATTTGGTCTTCAAATTTCTCATTTGTTTCTTGGATTCCACTTGTTCTCCATTCATCTTTCACCTGTATCTTCTTCTGTATGAAAGATGAAATGTATCTCCCTGAAGTTATGCAATTGAATTCATCTGTGTAGTTCACCTATTTTATTCAAAGGAGTGCTCTTCATGTTACTGAGAAAACAAAGGTACTGCAAGAACGTTATGAGCTTCAACTATTTTCATGATGAGTTGGCATTGATAGCTGGTATTAGGGAGACTCATACATTTATTCCTTTTAAATATATAGTTTTAAATTACAAATGTTCTACAAATAATCAGAAATGTTCCACACAGAACAACTGTGAATATATTCAGGTTTGTGGAAAATATCCTCTGAGAGAAGTACAATGAAACTTAGTGATCTTTCTTGCCAAAAGAAAAAGAATGAGTCCCGAGCTACACATTACAGGGCAAAAGATCTCTCCTACAACAGGCAGCATGGGAGAGGCACTAAAATAATAAATAAGAAGAGCCAACTCTCGTCAGATGAATTTCTTTATTTAATAATTTATGGTTCCTATCTTCCTTTTCAGTCAGCATCAGTGACTAGGTTTCATCTTGTTCATATAATTATTTCTTTTGGAGTTATTCATCAGGGTTGTTGCATATGACTCTCCTATTTTGTAGACTAGATTGAGGTCAGGTTCTTTGTGTGGATTACCACAAGTGACACAGCACTATGTGGTATTCATATGTCATGCTTGGTACCCTTGAGCTATTTCTTATAGTAATGTTTTTCATTTTTGCAGATGTATTTTAACCATGAGTGTTCTTTTTTATTAAAATGTATTATTGCTTAAGTCATCTTAGTAGTAGAGATAAAGTCCTAAGATAAATAAATAATTGTAATGCACATTTTGCGTTTTTACATTTACTAAGTTGATAATTATGCCCACTCTATGAGGAAAATACTTACAACTCTTATTTTTTTGAGGGAACTCAAATACAACTTAAATACAAAAATAAAAACTTAAATACAAAATACAAATCTAAATAAAAAGCAAAAAGTGACTTGCCCAACAGTAAAACAAAATTAATAATAGAATTTTCATTACTGGCCAAATTCTTACTTCTACTTTGAATGTATTGCTGAACAAGACCAGTTTAGTAGAAGAAGAGAACTAGTTTTCACTTCTAAACGCAGGGATAAAAATAGTTGAAATTATTGCTATTAGCATCAGGTCTGTTTTATTTTTAAATGATGGCCCAAAGAGATTTTTGACTCCATTTCTCTTTCTCTTCCTCATTCAGTTTTGATTCTCTTATCACAAGTGTTACTCACAGCCAACTAGCCAAATGAAAAGTATGGCTTGATTAAGGATCTCCTTTGTCACTAATTTGTGCCTAATGTTTTTAGCTTTCCCATGGGCTGTTGTAGAAAATGGTAAATCTGGTTTAAATGAAACCTGATCCTGTTAATGGTTTAATAGCAGCTGCCATAGGGTTATGGGAGTTTTCAACAGATGCCTCTGTTTCATTTTATTCTTAAACTAAGTCTTGAGATTATTTACGTAAATCATACAAAATATATTCACACAATTTTGGATAAACATATTGGAATAGAATGTTAGAAAGTCCCTATCTTTGTCCATTTAAAATTATTCACACAAAATTTAAAAAGAAAGTGCAGTGTATAATTTAAAAAAAATAAAAGAATACTCCTGGTTTGATTTTTCTTAGATTTTTTAAAAGGCTAAAGAATAGGCTCCATCTCTACACCTGGACATTTGAGTAATGGCTTGGCCAATCTAAAAATTTCACTTGTCTTTATACTTAGTGGTATTTATTTAGCACTGAAAAATTGCACATATAGTGATGTGCATTACAGTGTCAACTGAAATAAACAGAGTAGTCACAAAATTAAGTAGGACTCCATTTTTTTCTTCAAGTGATCATTAAAAGTAGGATTCGTTTTTCTGGAATATAGAAGTTAGTTCAGTTACTTTTCATACGGCACTTATTCATGCAAAGCACTTCGGCTGAATAGATGTATGATGCAAACATGAATGATAAGCTTATCAGTGACCATAATGGAATATAGAAATAGTTGTAGTCTTTGTTTTCTGTTAAATTGTAATATGTGAAACGTTATAATTTAAAACCAATATAAGTTAACTGGGCTTATGGTTCTGGATGCTGAGAAGTCAAAGAACATGACACTGGCATCTGGTGAGAGCCTTCCTGCTATGTCCTAACGTAGAGAGCTTCACATAGCAAAACAAAGCATGTGTGCTAGGTGTGTTCTTTCTTCTGCTTTATATAAAGCCACTAGTGCCATCATGGGGACCTCTCCCAGTGACCTCATCCAATTCTAATCACTTCCTGAAGGCTTCTCCTCCAATACCACTAATATATGGATTCAAGGTTTGAGTTTCCAGCATATGAACTTTTGGGGAGACAGATTCAAGTATCTATAACAATAATAGATGTACCAGCTCAGGCAAAGAGGACTGAAAATACTGAAGGCCATGTTAATTAACATACTACAGTCTTGATTTCTAAGACTCACAGAGTGTAGAATCTTGAACTGTCAGGGCTAAATTTGTCTTGTTTGAATCACTTTTTCATGATGGTGTGATTATTTAAGTATCTGGGGCTGGAAGGGTTATTTATATAAATTCATGTGATGGTGAGTTTTCAAGGGCCAACAACAGAAGAACAGAACAACTTTCTACTTCTAAATTGTCTATAGGCATCACCTAATACCGTGTGTTTCTAAAAATACAGGCACCTCAATATTCCCTTGTCTTACTATCTTTCTAGGGTCTCCCTCAAAGAAAAGATGTGAAACCTGGCATGGCTTTCCTCTTTGAACTGTTTCTCCTTCGTGGGACGTATGCTTGCCTTGACCAGGCAGTGGGCTGGGCAGCCTTTCCTTTGTGTGATAACAACTTGTGTCCTGTTCTCGAGGACATTATGAACAGAAACTCAGCAATTTCAGAAAAATTGAAGATTTGATTTGCTTGGACTGGGACCACTGGCTGTGCAGTCTCTATTTTCAGGTTTGTAATATGTTTTTGTAAGTGGAAAAGATTTTAATTTTTTGCCAAAGTTGCTTTTTTGTAGCCTTTAACTTCCTTTCATGCAACTGAAAATTTTGTTGTTTCACAAAATGTCAAAAGTAATTATATCTTAGTACTGGTTTCTGATATTATAGATTAAATTGATAAGTAAAAATAAGGAATAAAATTCTAGAGTTAATGGGAAAGTTAAAGATAATACAGTTTTCTGGGTTGTGAATGGGCCAGAACTGCCACCTCTGGCCCCCAATTCAGAGCTCACGGTCTGTTGCTCCAGTCTATAATCTGCAAATTCATCTCAGCATAGTATTGGCCAAAGCTACTTACCGAGCTGCTATTGTGTGTTGGACACTTCCTGTTCCAGTATATAGAAGAGCTAAGACCTCTGCCCTCTGGACTCTTGCCATATGAGGTACACATATGTTCATGCAAAAGATAACTAATGACCCACATTTCCACCAGACTTGAGCAGCATCACAAAGCTCTCTCCCTTGACCTTGCCACATCAAAGCATGCTCATTGGTCTACCTCAGGTCTTTAAAGCAAACTAACTTGCACCAACTCCATTTATTTGTATATATTTGTTACTCTGTGTATTTTCTCATTGATCTTTTAACAGACATAATGTTGGCCAAATTCCTTCTAGGCAAACACCATTGAGGATCCAGAAAAGAAAATGGCAGTATATGTTCAGTACAAAGCACTCAAACACAATTGTAGTCTGATTTTGTCCTATATGTCCAAATGTGTCCTTCCTGATTTATTTTTTCCAGGTTGCCAATATCATAAAGTACCATGAATTGTTCTTTCTTGCTTACAAATTTTATTTTCTAGCCATTCATCCATCCATCTATCTATCGATATTAAAAATAAAGGCATAAGAGGAAGCAAATTTTAGCATAGTGAATATGAAAGGCATACATAACTTTTAGCTAACTCACTAATTATTACTTAAAATTCAGTGTTTTATAAGTTACGGGAAAATAAATACTAATTTTGTTTCATAAAAGACAATGCATATAATACTGGTACTAATCATAAAGCCTATTTATATTTGAGATGAAATCAAGAAATGAAGATTTAACATTTACAAGATTAAAATCTTATTTTTAAAACAGCATTAGAATAATTTGATCAAAATCTACTTGAATTTGAAGACTAAAATTTTCTCTTTTTCTTCTGACTTCTTATTTTAAAATAATCTTTGTGGAAAAAAACTAATGTTATAATTTATCTGTAGGGCTTGGCAGACCTTTACCATTTCAGATGAATGTAATTGTCCATTAACATTCTTGATAGACAATATTAGGACTTTTCTCCTTCTGTATATTTTATGAAGGGGGAGTCTTATTAATAAAATAATAGCATTATGCAAGATATAGTTTTTCTTAGGGGCTGGGGGTGTAGATCAGTGGTACAGTGTTTTGAAGTCCTGGGTTCAATCTTTAACATCGCAAACTAAAAATAAAGTTATAAGAGGCATGATTTTCTGATTAAAAGACACAATAAGCAGAAATATAGATGCTTTCTTTCATGAGGATGAAAACAAAACTTTTTACCTGAAAATTTCATTTTTCTTTTATGTGAAATCCTAACATATGTAGATTTTCCCAATGTGAGTTTTCTCAAATGCAACAATTTCTGATTAAGTAAATGCTGAGTTGCTCACAAAAGAATAACTTAGACTTGGAAAGAGAAAAATAGTGTAGAGCACATGATGGAATAGAAAAAGCGGTTTTTGCAATTCAGGCTTGGAAGAGATGAAAGGAAACAAGGGAACCCAAGTAAATTCGGATCACCGGTCAGTCGTGGGAGGGGGCTTCCATTGTCAGAGAGGTAGTGGTAGAGTGAGGACACCTTGCCTCCCCGTGGCCTCTCCTGTGTCGTCAGGGACTGAACCCAGGCCAACGATGTGAGGAGGAGGCTGGCAGACAGCTTGTATTCCGCTCCCAGGGCACATGTGGAAGGACTTAAGAGGGAAAATGAAGCAAGCAAGACCACCTATAACTCTTTCCCAGGAATCTTTTCCTTTCACTTCCTCGCTTTTCGGAGTGTTTGGTTTCTTGTGTCATAGATTATCCTCCCCGAACCAGTTTATTGTTAAAATTTTAACCATAGGGTAAAGTGGAAAAAGGGCATGATGGACACCCATTTACTCACCACTGGAGAATACAGTCTTGACATTTCTCTTTCAACGTGAAAGTGTTACTTCTTGGAGATAGTAAATACTGCATGAATATTTACTCGTTTCATCCAGTATAAATGTTACCCAAATAGTGTTATTTTAAAAAAAGAAATTTCAAAAAAAATGAAAACAAGACTCCTCAAATAGAGCATGTAGCAAAAGCTGAAGCAAATATATAAATTAATTAATGCAAAAAATTTCACTCATTCTTTCTAACACAACCAAACAAACTTTAAAGGTCTGAAATACTGAAATCATTATTTACTTTTTAGATTTATCAAACTGTCACAATGTTCCTGAGAAAAGCTAACAATGCATGTCATATCTTCCAAAGTTTCAATGACACATCTATCTCTTAACAGGTAATCAAACTTCCTTGGCATTTGGATGATCTGAAACTGCATGAAAGTCATATTCGGCTTTCCCCTGAGTTTTCTGTGTGTTTAATGGCTGAAGCAGAGAAAGCAAAATTAGATATGGACAACCCAGCTGGCCTCTCAGGGAAAGAAACCCAGGAAAACATTTGTATGTCAATGGAGCATGGAGCTGAGTCTGCCTTACCCTCTCCTCAGGGTTAGTTGATTTGTTTTGGTTCACATTCGATTGCTAATATTTCAAATTGTACTTATATATTAAATTAAGAAGTATTAATTGGTTTATTAATGTGTTATCTATACCAAGGTATTTCAAGAGAATGTGACTGTTAACAAAAAAATCAGTTTTCATGGGTAGGGGATTTAGCTCAGTGATTTCGCCGCCTGCTGTGCAAGTGCAAGGACCTGAGTTCGATCCCCGGTACCAAAACCAACAACAACAACAAAAAAAAAAAAAGAAAAAAGAAAATTAGTTTTCATGTTATACTGTTTATTGCATAAGTAAATATAAAATTGTTTCATTGAAACACAAGCTCCTTCATAGCCTATTGCTCTTAGAATTTTTGTAGGTATTTTTTTGTGTGTGGGTAGGGGGATAATTTTACACTCTTTGGTTCTTATTTCTAAATTGTCATCTTTCTTGTATGTTCTTGACAGTGATAACCAAAAAATGAACCCGAGAGATAAACTATTCTCAGAAAAAGTTGTCCATTAAGAGTATATTTTATAGAGCTTTGTTTTTTGACTGCCTTTATTAAGCACTAAGAAGCAAATACAGTTTTTAAATACTCAATTTACAAAAGTTCTAATTTAAAGAAGAGATACATTAGCAAGTATTATCTTTTGTACTAAAGAATTATTTCCTTTAGAAAATGACTCACAAGTTTCTTTAACAGAGTGGATACCTTACTGGTGCATAAGAAACATAGCAATAGTAGGGGATAGATTGGCAGTTATTGCAGTAATATTCATAACAGAATCATGCCTGCACTGGAAGTATCACTAGTAACAAGCCCTGTAGTAATCACTTTATTTTTGAAATTGCCAAATATTTTATTTATATGTATGGAAGTAACATAACTTTCACAGTGCTCAGTCACTGCTTTGCCAGTTCTTCCTACCCTTCCATATCTGCTTCATTATATGTTTTCTGTGAAACATTTGCATTTTATATATAATGAAAGCCTTCTTTAACCTTCTCTCTGATTCCATTCTCAACTCTGACTAATTATTGATCATTTCCATTTATATTTTATTTGAAAATTCATCTTAGTTTAAATGTGTGTGTGCGTGTGTGTGTGTGTGTGTGTGTGTGTGTGTGTGTGTTTTAAGGTAGGGATTCATACCAGGGCCTCACACATGCAAAGCTGAGCTCTGCTCCCAAGCCTCTATGTTTATTTCTTCATATATATGTAATTGTAAGCAATGTATAATATCATTTATGTTTTTAAAGTTTACTTGAATATACTTTTGCAACTTTTATTTTCCCTTAACATCATCTTTGAGATGCTTTCTCTTTACCTATTTCTAGTTTATTTTGTTGTTTTATAGAATATTTTGTGTAATATAATACAATTCATTTGTTCTTACTATTTATGTTGCTTCTAGCTATGTTCTATTTTAAGCCAGACCACAATGATTATTTACCTCTTTATCTTTGCTGGGGATGGAACCCAGAGCCCCTGCAGCCTAAGCATTTGCTGTGTCTCTGAGCTGTACCCTTCTGCCCCGTGATGACTATTCTTGTTCATACCCTCCTTGTGCAAAAGGGTGAGAATTTCACCAGACTATAAATACCCCGGATAGGAATCCCCGAATCATGTTACTTTGGAAATTTATAGCACAGTGGCACATTGCTAACCCTGTGCTGAGAGCTGTGTAGAAATATTGCCACACTCAGCAATGCGTTTTATTGTCAGGCTTTTAACGTTTGCCAGTTCAGTTTCAAGGAAATGATATCTCTGTGTTTCAGTTAGAATTTTCCTAAATAAAAGTAAATTTGAGCATTTTTTCACCATTTATTTTTGTTTACTGTTAGGTTTTACCTTCTGTGAAGGGCCTATTTCTATATTTTGTTCAGTTTTCCTTCGAGTCAGTTTTTTCTCATTGATCTGTAAGAATTCTGGTGTCTTCCTCTTAAGGTGAAATGAATCATGGGCAACACTTATTTTCAGATTCAATGTTTGACTGTTATCTGAATGTTTTATTGTTATTGATTTTTCAATCATTTTATTTTAATTTACTTTTTTAGAAATTTATTAACTGAGTCATAGTATCATATTATCTTTTTAATTTTAAATTTTATTTCCTTCTGTTATTGAAAAGGGCTGGGGATTTAGCTCAGTGGCACGTCACCTGCCTTGCAAGCGCAAGGTCCTGAGTTTGCTCCCCAGTATCAAAACCCCAAAAAATTATTGAACAGGCAATACACTTATATTATTCAAAATAAAATTTGCCTCCTACCCTTACTAAGGGTAAGTTTCCTTATTTTCCCTGGAGAAAATCGATGTCTTTTGTATATTTTTCAATAGATGTATTATGTGTCTCCAAGAACATACATAAAAATACTATTATAATTTTGAAATACCACCAAAATTTAACTATATTCCCTTTTTTATTTCTAATACTGATTAATTCTTGTCTTCTATACTTTTCTGTTTTAGTTGGGCTTGAGTTTTGCTTTGTCTTTCTTTTTTTTTTGGTACCAGGGATTGAACTTGGGTCCTTGCACTTGTGGGGCAGGTGGCAGAACCATTGAGCTAAATCCCTGGCCCTTTTTCTTTCAATTTTTAAATATGTAGTTGTTATATTTGCCTTTATTGAATCTATCTTCTGATTTTTTGCTTTATTTTTTGTGTATTTCTCCTCTTAAATTTTCAATTTTCTTACTGCTATTTTCTTCAGATTTTATCAAGGGTTAAATTTTAATTTAATTTAAAATCTGTTATGTGCATATATACATATGATTGTTATAGTTTTGAGAATTTTTTAATACCAATATAGTCTTCTTCTATTTGTTTATCAAAACTTTTGAATTTATATTCCATTTTTTCTGCTATTAGTACTATTACCTGAATTATTCTTTTAGTAAGTATTCATCTATTGTATAGTTTGGGTATTTTTTAGTTAGTAGCATAACTCTGAGTTTTTAAAATTTAAGACAAGTAGATAATATGTTTTTTAATAGATGTACTAATCAACTTTTCATTACTACAAAAAATCCCTGAGATAATAAACTCAGAACTGTCTTATTTTGACTCACAGTTTGGAAGGTTTCAATCCATGATCAGTTGACCTGTTACTTTGGCCTTGTGATGGCTGTTCATGGCAGAAGTGGGCAAAGGAACAAAATACCTCACTTTGTGGCTAGAAAATGAAAAGAGAGGGAGAGGAAGGGATTTCCAGAATCCCTTCAAGAGGAGGCCTCTAGCTGCCTAAATCCTCTCACTATATTCCACTTTCTAAAATTTCGACTGCCTCCCAAGAGCACTGAGCTGATGACCAAGCCTTGACACATCGACCTTTGGAGAATATTTAAGATTCAAACTACAGCTTACCTTTAAGGTTTTTGTGATTCTTTGTACTACTGTATTCGTAATCATAAATGACATCTTATTTGCCACTTTATGTCTTTGCTGATAAAAAATTCTTTTCTGAATTTTTCTTCAACCAAAAATAACTATTTTTGTTTAACATAACTTTCTTCTTGTTTGTAATGTATAGATTCCATTAAATACTTCAGAGGTTATCCTTAATTTTCTTATCTACATATTTAACTGCAAATTATCTTAAAGAATAAAAGCTGGTTCCATAGTTCCTTTCTCTTCCTTGATGTGACAAGGACTTTTTCAGTACATTGCCCAATGAATGCCTCCTTCTACTCTCACTGTTGTTGGCTTCAGTTTCATGTTTTTAGTAAACACAAAGTTTAAAAGGTATTCTTTTTACTCTTAATAGAAGATTAATTTATAGACAGATTCAACCAATATCTGTGCTTTGTAATATTTTAAATTTAGCATGTCTTCACTTTGGTCTCATTTTTCTTGCTGAAGTAAATCTTTAGCAATTCATTTAGAGTTTGGACCTTTCTTATTGTTGTATGTCAGAAAGAGTTTTGATAGTTTACCTACACTTTTGATAGATCATTAATCCATGTAGAACATTCTAAGGTAGGAATAGATTTTCCTGACTCTTTTCTGCATTTTTTCTTGTATCTAATGTGGCTGATCAGAAATCATTATTAAATGGGCAGCCACTGAAGTATCTCAAAAAAGAGTGATGTTTTTCAATTTCTATTTTCTACCAGGTAGTTTTTCAGGAGGGTTTATTTGGGAAAGGAATGTCTAGAAATAGTTGAGTTAGGAAAAGTTTAGAGTAGTGCAAACAATAGAAAAGGGACTCTATTAGGGTAGAGATAGCAGTGAAGTTGGAGAAAAAAATGAAATTTATTGAGTATTAAAGAGATGCAATAGAGTGGCTATAAAAATAAACTGGCTCTGTTGACCGATTGGCTTTGGGTGGTGAGGGTTAAAAAAAGGATAATCCCTAAACTTTGGACATGGGTGGATGTAGCTATCATCATAAGTTTCCTTTTGTTCCTTTTGGGTTTGAGGTTTCTATATTATATAGGTATCTAAATGGAAATGCAAATGGACATGACAGAAGAGACAGAAGGTCGGGAGGGAGAATACGTTCACAAAGCAGCACGGACATAGATAGAGATTCCAGTTAAAACCACTAAGCAGTGGAGTGCAACATGGGAGGATGTATGGAGTATTCATAGTGCTGCACTGACAGCACAGAAGAAGGATGTTGCCTCCTGCCATTCTGGTCTGATCCGAGGCCTACACTATTCCACCAAACTTCTGTCTTCCTGTTTTGTTCCATTCACTGGGAAACATATCACTTCATAGAGAGTGATAAACAGAGCTTAAATGATGACTGGAGTTTTTCAGTTACTGTGGAGATCATACCTTGTTGGGCCAAGTAAAACTCTACTGACTGCCAGTTTCAACTCCGAGGATCCCCACTTCCCTAAAAGGTAGATTCATTGTAGGTCCTGGGCTTCCTTATCTACTTTATCTGCTTCCTTGTGACTAAGCCAAGATTACCTGGTAACAACTACTGAGATACTACACCTTCCAGACAAAAGTATATCATTTTATAGATTAATGTGTACTTGGAAATGGTATGTTGAAA